AAAAAAAAAAAAAAAAAAAAAAAAAAAAAAAGAACTATAAATCATATCTGTAGCATATATAGTTCTTAAGTTACCTTAGGATTAATATTTGAGTAATATTACATTTGATGATATTTAACTACATTTGATAATATTTAACTATGTTTAATAATATTTAGCTATGATTGATAACATTTAACTACAAATGATAATATTTAGCTATGTTTAGCTACAATTAATGATATTTAGCAATATTTGTAAAAATATATATAAACTCTAGCTTTTCCTTTTTCTTGTAAAATAGTTCTGTCTAGTTTTGTATTAAGTTCTAAAATAATATAATACTCAATAAAGTCTAAAATCCTCTATTAATCCTTTAATAAAATATAACTTTGGCTTTGTAAATACTTTTTTTAAATAAACTACTACAATAATATGATATTTTACTTTGATACTGTTGGAAGTTCTCCTTCTGTGTCTTATGTTACTTATGATATATTGAGAAGACTATAGTACTTGTAACAATATAGATAATCTAATTAAGATTTAACTTTTAGATAAGTTATTAGAATACTTGAGATATATGTTTTTGTTTTTGCATAATATAGTATTTTTATATTTTGTTAATCTTTTTTTTTTTTATTAAACAGAGTATCTTTTCTATTTTTTTTTTTTTTTATTTATTTATTTATAAGAATTTTTTAATTCAATAGTAAATATTTTTTTTATAAATTATATTCATATAATATATAATAGTATTTTATTATATATAACAATTTTAAACTTTTTTTTATATTATGAACTAGATATTAACTACTTTTAACTTATTGCAAATTAGATTAGAAAAGATCTAAAATCTTAATATATAACTAAAAATTGCTATCATTAATCAAATTTTAAAGAATCTGTACATATAAATTAAGATTTTTGTAAGAGAATAAGCTTTTGCAACAGATCAAACTTAAACATCTTTAAAGCAGCTGAGTTAGTTTGAAACAGTTGATAGAAAGATTTAATTAGTATACTTGTATATTAAATTAATCTTATGCTTTTATATAAGCTTTCCTTAAATAAAATAACAAGCAAGATCAAGTTATAAAAAATAAAAAGATAAAATAAATTATTGCATTTTTATTTTTAACCACTATTAAAACTTTATAAATCTAATCACTTATAGTATACTGATTATAATTTTTATAAAAGAAAATTTCAATGCTAACGAATATATAAATTCGATTCTCAAAAATAACAAATTATTTGAAAGAATTTTTCTATAAAAAATGATGTGTCTATCATTTGATAATCAAAATTTACATTATGTTCTAAATAATAACAAATAACTGTTATCGTAATCATGATATGAGAGTCATTACGTAGAGTAACGAACGTTTCTTCATGTTATAATAATTATAATTAGTTTTACATTAGTTTACATTTTGTTATTAATATGTAAGCGATGTAATTTATATATAAAAACATAAATATATTGGCAAATGACATCAACTACATTTTTTTATATGGCGATCCAAGATATTTTAGTCTTGCTCAGAGTTTGCATATGAAGCAGCGTCATCAAAATCAACATCACCCTAATTTTGTTGTATACCATGGGTTACAAATATGATTAAATAAATCATAAGTAAAAAAAAAGGAAACGAAAAAAAACATACCCGAACTGATCCAGTACCAGTTGTGTTTACTAAAAAACAAGGAAAAAATAATAAACAACGACGAATAAATAAATCAATCAAAAATAAAAATAATTTTTTTTACCTTCCATGCTTAAAAGACTCATATTATCACGGTCATCGTCAACTGAAGCAACCGATGATAGAACATCATCATCTACATCACCATTAACATTTCTTCGTGCTATGCTGTTGACCATACGACTGCTAGGAGATGCTAAATTTGACGGTAAAATGCCATCGGGATATTTTTCCTTGATTTCTAATTTTAACATGAATTTCTTGTATCATTAATTTGAAATTTATAAAGAATATATGAAACACTTTATATACCGGCTAAAATATCTTGTTCATGACTGTCTTTATAATCTGCATATGATGTAGCAGGAACGACGGTGTTACGCGCCTTTTTGGCGAGTTCTTCAGCAATAAGGGCCTTTAAGCGAAATTAATATTCATTAATAAATATAAAATCTATATTAATAGATCCTATAATAAAATTTACATGTTTAAAATCCGGAAATAGATTTTCATAATCTGATGGATCTGCTAATGCCTCCGCTGCTTTCTTTTTATTTTGTTTTTCAAGTGACTCTCGCCATAGTTTTACAACTCTTGAAACATGACTTTTAACAATTTTCAGACCATAATTTTAAAATAAATGATTATTCTCGCTTTGTGAACAATGCAATTACAAAAAAAAAAAAAAACAATACAAACCTAGGAAGATATGTACGGGCAAACATCGCCGCTTCCGGAATACGGTCAGTTTTTATTAACAGATCTATACAGTCCTCAACTTGACCAAGTTGTAGATAGCATGCAAGAGCTACATTATTTTTACCATCGGAAACTGCATTAAAACTATGATTAATTTCAAATCTACGAGTTATTGACAGAATACAAAGAAAAGATTATTCATTAAAAGAAAAAAAGCTCACCAGCTATTTCAGCTAATTCCTTTATTCCTTGAGAATTACCAGAAGCGGTATATAAAAGCAATAAGCCGCTCATATCCTTGGCTTTTTTGAGGCATTCCTCGGCCAAAGAGAACTATTTGAAAATTATTTAGCATAAATTTTAAGCTGGCTATTTATTATATGGTTTTTCTTCGTAACACGAACCTTCCAAGCACTTAAAGCTGAATCACCAATTGTCTTCCATTTTGCGTCTGTACCAACTTCACGGGCAATTTCAACAGCAACATCTAGTTTGTTGAGTTGAACTGCAAGCTCAAACTTGTGTTCAATATCAGTTGATACTTCAAGAGCAAGCTCTTTTAATTCTGTCGACAAATTATACAAATTTCAATTTTTAAACATTAATTTCTTGTTCGTATACTAATTATCCTCGTTATTATACCTTGACTCTCTAAAAATCTTGCAATTCTATTCCTTTGATCTGCGGGGATCGAAGGAAGCAATTGTTCAGCTGTTTCTAGATCGTTTCGAAGAATTGCGGTTTGATATTCAATAACGGTCAAAGAAAGAGCATAACTATAGACATTGACATCCTATTAAAACAAAATACAAAAAATTAGTAATAATGTGCATATGTTTATAAGAATAAATAGGAAAAAAGAAAAAAAACCTTGTCTGCCAAGTATATACGATTATCTTTCGGAATGTACCCTAGTAGATACATATTTCTAAAATTACAATATCAAAAATCAAAGTTTTGCAGGGAACGTATAGATATTTCAATATTCTTATTAGTATGCTTACGTATCAAAATGACTAATAGTAAATGTCTGTGCGCCAACAAGATAATTCAGACGATTGACAGTATTTGTATAAATAAAACAATCGCCGACCCATGTTCCCGTTTTAATACTATATGAAAAAAAGTGGAAATAAATTAGATGAAGTTTTAAGGCATTAAAAAGTCACTAACGTTGAATTCACCTTTCTGGAACCTCTGTCACAAATTCAAAAGCCTGTTCGACACCTTCATCGCCAACTTCACCCCCACTTTCCAAAAATTGTACATAGGCTTGGCGATTAAAGCGTAGGACATAAAAAGTATCTTCACATGCGATGGTCACAAGATCACCAATATCAGACCAATGAACCTGAAAATATATCAAAAAATTAAAAATGACAAAAATTGCTAAAATGCATTTACGTTTTAAATAAAAGATAATGGTTCAATCAGGCCAACTTACACTTTTCGGAATGACATCGATTCTTCTCACGACTAAAGCTGTTTCCCAATCATATAAATTTAAAAAAGCAGAACTCTTTACACCTAGTAGTGTGCCACCAAAAATCCCTTCAACAGTAAAATTGACTTTTAAAATGTTGCTTCTTTCCTTGAAGTTTTTGTAAAGCTTGATTTTAGTTGCTGACTCCCTGACAGCGTATCTTTTTAAATAACATTTAATTATGTTAAAAAATAATGTATTTATGTTATGAACAATGCATATTAACAAAACTCACTCGTTTGAATCTAAAGCCCATACAAACTCAAGTCCATTACCAAAACCTTTGTTTCTCCAAGCCAGTGCAGTATAAATAATGTATTCGCCGTCTCCACAAACAACCACAAATCTGCACATTAAAAAGCAAAACAGATTAATGAAAAAAAAAAAAAATTAATTTTAGAAATATTCAAATAAATCCTTACCTCCCATTCGGACTATGTTGCAAGTTTTGAGGATACACTTCACAACTGCCCAAATCCTTAATGGGTAAAGGAAGGCGGTCACCATCTTTGATACTTTCATCTGTCAAATACAGTGAATAATAAATAAATAAAGACTTCGTAAAAGACAAAATTAAGTTTATTCAAAAAAAAAAAATATATATATAGTCAACATACCATGACCAGCCTTTATATTAGCTGTTTGAATTTCATTATGTTTGGCCCAAATTATTTTCCCAGAATTATCCATACTCACTGCCGGCTCTTCACGCCCTAACTACAAATAGTGTCAACCAAACTCGGTTTAATCTTCGTATATTCAATAAATTCCATGTCTATAATGGTTCAACAGACCTTAACACAGACTGCGCCTTCATCGTACCCAAATGCAACATTATTGTTACCTTTCTGATAAGCTACAGTCCAGGCACGCTCTAAACCATAATTGAGGGTATTTTCTAAACGATAAGTATTAGAATGCCAAATCTTTATAGTACCATCTTCACTACCAGAAATAATAATTGGCAGTTCAGGATGAAAACATGCAAATGCAGCATTCTGAGTATGCCCTTCTAAAGTCTGCACACATGTTTTATTTTGATAGTCCCAGATTTTTACAAGTTTATCATCGGCTGCTGAAACAAGATATGGTTTTTCTCCACCATGATAATATTCTACCCAATTTACTCCTTTTTCATGACCTTCAAGTGTAAAATTTGCAACAGCTGATCCAAGTGACCAAACCTTAATCGTACGATCCAAACAAGCCGATGCAAACGTATTCGAATCCTTCGGATTAAAATTGATATTCATAACATAGTGTGTATGACCTTCAAATACCTAAAATAGATTACAATAATTTTTAGTAACTATGATCAATGAGTTTCAAAATTCTTTATAAAAAAAAATTAAATGAAAAAAAAAACCTGAATACATTTCCATCCTTTCTCCCAATCCCATAATTTTACAGTCATGTCATCAGAACCACTCAAAAAAAAAGGTTGCGTAGGATGTATAGCAATACAACGAATATAATCAGGATGAGCTTCAAAAGTTGTAACCTTTTCATGTGTGTTATAATTAAATACACGTATTTGCATATCATCTGATCCGGTGATGAGCCAATTTTTTCGGGCAATGAACCTCGCGGCACGAACTATAAAAAAAAAAAAAAAAAAAAAAAAAGTAATTTGTCAAATGAAGTAACAAATTATTAGTAGTGCACTAATTACAAGACCCAATTTATTGTATCTCTCATATATATAATATATTTGGGTCTTTTAATGATTTATGGTACGGTATTAATAATATATGAATTGTACCTGGCACATCTGTTACTTCAAAAGTTTTTACCAAAGCCTACATATGTTTTTTTTTTTTTTTAAGAAATTATTAATAAACTACTCGACAATTAGTCAAGAATATTTTGAACCACACAATTCGTAAAGAAATAATTTAATATATGTACAATCGATTTACATATTCAAACGCCAAAGGTTTTAACTTCATTCAAGACTTAATTGTAATAATTAGACTAAAATAATCATAATAAAAAAGGCCAAAAATTTAAAATGTACCTGCGTTTCGTAGTTCCAGATATAGACATTGCCATTATACAAGCTTGCAAGTAACCATGGTTCCGTTGGATGGAAATCTACACATTTTACGCGATCGGAGCGGGCAAATAGTTTGCGCTGTAAGAATAATGAAAAAATAATTTCAATATTTTGGCATTGTAAAATATAGACGCAAGGAAATGGCTTTCCTGTAGCCCAAAGATGATTCTCGATTCAATTATTAACCTTGATCTCTAGTCGCATTCCCTGATCACAATGAGGAAGTTATAGTCAAAGAAACAGAGAAGTTAGTTCTGCTGGTGATGTTGAAGGCTGGCCCAGAATCGCAGCTCGCTCATCAAAGCGTACTGTTCTCTCACCATCTTGATATGTCGTTTTTGTCTTCAAATATCTTCAGGGAAAAAGCTTGATATATATTAAATCTCGTGCAGTTATTGATTTAATTCAGTAATTCTGGGGTAGGCCAAGCCAGTTCGCTGTAATTGAGCCGAGCGCCGAGCCGTTTTCATAGAACATGTGATTATAATGGTGCAATCAAAATTAAGTAGCAGACCGACCAAAAATTCCGGGTCGGAATGGACCGAATTAACGACTAGGGTTAAGAAAATTACATTTTTTATATTTCAGCATTTAACGTTAATGCATTTAATGCAATTTTACTGTGTTGAAAACTCCATGTTCTCAGAGAACATAAAAATATTTTTGAGAACATTGACTCAAGAAATGTTAATTTGAGAACAAAATTGAGAATATTTTTTATTTTTCGAGAACAAATATCAATTTTTGTTCAATTGTGAACATAATTTAAAAATTGAATTTTATCAACACTTCATAGATTTCATGTAATTTTATAGATTGGAATCGATTAAGTTTCTGCAACCCATGTCCTGCAAAAAATTTTAGGCCAGAGGCACAAAAATAGGCACAGACATTTAGTGCCTAGCCTTAAAAGTACCTAGCTATAATATCGATATGCCCAACAGGTACTTTGTGCTTGGCTTTAAAAGTGCTAAACACTTCTGTGCCAACAGGCATTTTGTGCCTGGCCTAGCACTTCTGTGCTCACATGACACATTTACCTAGAAGCATTCTGTGCTCGGCTTAAAATTGTCAGACACTTCTGTAACTATAGACGCCTTGTGCCTGATTCAATAATGCTTGCACAACCTAGTACAAATTTTTCTGATAGTCATATTGATTAAAATTTATTGTAATAGTCTCTAAACTGATAATTTTAAGGCCTTATAAACTTTTTGCGCTAAGCACAAATTAGGGATGGATCAGTCCGGTTCAGTCCGTCCAGTCCACGACAAGACCGGTCTAATAGTTGTTTTGGTCCGGGTCTTGGTCTTTAAAAATGGTCTAAAATTCGCATATAAAAATTCTGTGCCAGGTTTTGTCGATTATCAGTCACGTGATCGATTTTAAATATTCATCTAGTGAAACAAAAAATTTAAAACTTTGGGAGAAAATATCTCGATACCTACTAGATATAATTCGATAATTTTTTTATTATTATTAAATATAAAGGACTCTTACTTCAAATAAAAAATTTTATCGAATTTGAACAAATAGTTGTTGATATATTTCTATTCAAAGTTTTCAAAAAAACAGAACGTTTATCAAAATTGTGTTCTAGATAGCATAGCTTTCTTAGTACACTATAAGTAACAGCACATGACTATCTAATTACTTTAAGAAGTGGTGTTCAAGAGAGAAGTTTCTTTAACTAATTGTAAAGACAAGTATCACTTTACAAGAAGTAGTTCGTTAAGTTTATTTAATAACAATATATTTATTAATTATAAATATTTAGAGTCAAGTACAAGAGAAAAAAGAGGAGTTGAGGTCTAAACAACTAAAGGGCAAGTGGGGAATTCTACTTGTATTTATAACTTTTAGCAAGTGTCAGCAAAGCATTATATAAGCGACTTGTGCAAGCATCACTTAAGTATTTGTGCAAGTAATAGTTAAGTATTACTATTAATAGTTTAGTATAATAAAAGGCATAGTACTCAGCACAGTTCAGCATAGTCTAGTACAGTCTTTCAGCATAGTCTAGCACAGTATTAGCATAGTATTTAGTACAGTTTTAGCATAGTTCTCAGCAAAGTATTTAGCACAGTTCAGCACAGTATTCAGTATAGTCCAATATAGTTTTAGTATAGTATTTACTTATTATAGCCTATATTTTCTCTAGATATTATATAATAACTGAATATAACTTATATTATTGTATAGCTAGTATCTTTGGTTACAAAGTTACTTAAGGGTATTTTTCACTATAAATGCTTTTTAAGGTATTTTACTTAGCGATGAATGTTTACAATGATTTTCTCTACTCTAAATTATTTATATTAAAATAATACAATATAAAAAATAATCAAATACTAATAGATCTAACTATTAATATAACTAAAATATAATAATAATATAATAATAAAAATAACTAAAATCTATCCTATAACATATTCTCTCCTTTAAAAAAATTTGTTTTACAAATTTAAAATTTAAGAACTTGTAAAAGTTCTATAAATTTTGTTTCTATTAGCTTTGTTATTTGAGTAATATTAAGATTCTTAGTCTAGTATAAGAGTTCTAAGAGCTTGATATTAAAAACTTCTCTTAGTTGTATAGTTTCTTTTCAAATATCTCTTATTTTTTAATCACTATATTGTTGATTAAACATAGCTCTAATCTGATCTTAGTTTGCTCTATTGTCTAATATAATTATTCTAAGATAATAGTAAGCTTCTAATATTTTAATAGATCTAGTTTTAGAATTCTGCATTTCTTTTAATCGATCAAGTATTTTTTCACTTGATTCTTCTAAATGTTTGCTAAGAAAGGGTTCATTAAACTTATAGCAGTAGGTTATTCTTATTGATTCAATTCATTATAAATTTGTTGAACTTTTTCTGATTCAATACTTAGAATAAGAAGTTCAGTCAGTTCTAATTCTGTTTCATTTAAGGTAAAGAGTTTATCTTCTAATATATTCAAAATAAGTAGGTTTGTTTTTAGTTTAGTAATTATATTCTCTGTTTTAGTAATTATAGAAGTAAAATTGATTTGTTGAGTAATATCTTTATTGTTAGACAAAATAATATTTTGTGAAGTGATCTAAAGGTAATATTGTGATACAGAGTCTGTATACTATTCTTTAAAGAAATTTTATAAAGTGATTAAAGTTTGAGATTGTAATGTTAATTTGTTCATTTCTTTTTAAGAATTTTTCTTTTTAGAGAAATTTTTGTTGAATTCCAGTACTATTTATACTTTTGAGATTATACAATATCTGTTTTACTAATTTCATTCGTCTAATAAAAATTTCTTCTAGAAATTTAGATAATAATTATTGGTTCTCATACTTACTTCTTATAATATTTAGTAAGTCTATCACTATTATAATATTCTTTTAATGTTTTTCTATCTTCTGTTCTTATTTTATAAACTTTTTTTTTTTTTAATATTAAGATGAGGTTTTGTCTTTATCTTTAT